GTGTGTCCGCAGCAACTTGTCCGCAACTTTCAACTCGGGAACCACAAAGGCTAGGAAGCTGAAAATAGGGGAAGTTCCCCACCCACGTGTGACCCCGCAGATTTAAATTCAGCCTCCCCGTACCCGCGGGTAACACGTATGGTCCTGCAAAAGTTTTGGCGGGTAAAGTTATTATCGCGGGGACCACTGAATGTACGAAGCTGAAATTTTGGGGTAATGATCCTCTGCCCACGCTCGACCTTGCCTATTCAAATCAGCTTTCTCCTGCTCTCGGGTAACACGAGCGGCCACGTGAAAATTTTTGCGGGTAAATTATTATCTCGGGGATCACTGAATGTACGAAGCTGAAATTTTGCGGCATTGACCCCCTGGCCACGCTCGACTTTGCCTATTCAAATTCGGCCTCCCTGTACCCGCGAGTAACACGAACGGCCCCGTGAAAATTTTTACGGGTAAATTATTATCTCGGGAACCACGGGATCCAGGAAGCTAAAATTTTGGAGTAATGATCCTTACTCATGTACGATCTCGCAAATTCAGATTCAGCGTCCCTGCTGTCCCGGTATCATTTACGGCCCCGTGAGAATTTTGGCAGGGAATTTATTATCTCGAGGAAGCTGAAATTTTATGGTAATGTCTTCTGTCTATTTACAGTCCTGCAATTTTAAATTCAGCTCCCCGTGCGCCCGGACATCACTTACGACCCCGTGAAATTTTCGGCAGAGAAAATTATTATCTCGGCAATCGCGGAAATTGAGAATCTCAGATTTTAGGTGATTTCCTCTACAAACGTACAACCTCGCAAATTTGAGCTCAGCCTTCACGCACCCCTGGGTACCACATACAGGCCCGTGAAAGTTTTGATAGAAAAATCGTTGTCTCGTGTGCATGGAATTTTTAGTGGGAAATTCCGCAGCTTAAGAACCAGACAGCATTTTAACCATTTTTGCACAGACCATAGTGCAAAGCAGTGAAAATCATTAGCAGGCAATCGTTCGGTGAACGGAATTGCAAAAAACGTATAATCGCACCGGCCGCCCCGGTGCGCGTCGCTGTTTATTCTTGTGTGTTCCTTTCCTGTTCTGCACACCAAATAGTTGCTATTTCACGTTGTTTTATCCACCAACTTTACTAACTACTCAAATGCCATGTTTTCAAATTGTGGACTAACAGTCTTCTTCCTTCCTCCCTTCTGCCTCGTATTCCCTCTCTTCTAATCCCCTTCTTCGTTCACTACCAGGCCTGCGGTCAGGTTTTTCCTTCCCGTCAGGCTATCACGCGTCCCTCGTAATCGTATGATTATTAATATTCTTTTTCATGATCTTCATCATCCTATTCTTGATCTCTTCTCCTTTTCCATTCTTTTCAATGCAAATTTAACGACAATTTTGCTGAAAATTTCCTAACTGAATGCTTCTCTAGCATTTTTTCTGTTGCTGTAAAAATGATTTCAGAATTTTTTGGCATTGTGCGCTAGTGGCTATTATAACAATTGCATTTTCCATCGTAATATAAAGGATTTTATGGTACAGAGTGGTGATCCCACTGGCACTGGCAAAGGCGGCGATAGTATTTGGGGTGGACCAATCAGCGACGAACTCAATCCCTCTCTGAAGGTCAGTTTTTTCAGTACCTCATTTTGTGCTACGTCCCAGTCCTTGACTCCCAGTCTCATGTTTGGTATCCTGGCAAGCCACACGTTCATTAATGTGAAGGCACAAGAAAGGAGTTGTGATGTTTTTCGATTCATCAATTCTGCTGTTGATTTTAACAGATTCTTGTGTTTTTGGGAGTCGCAATATGCAGTTTTTAGCGGTTGGCGTTTTTCTTAATTTTCCCAAATTTTTCCCAAATTTTCCCAAATAATTTTCCCAAATTTTCCCAAAAATTTTTATATAAGACAGTTATTGATAAACATTAAATTGTTTTCTTTATCATTCTGCCGCATTCACGTTATCTTGAGGCGGTATATTCCTTCCTTCTTATCATGTCGGCTGCTTACATTCCGGAAACACAAATAGGTGAAATGAAGCTAAAACATTTCAACGTTCTTTTCGTTTAACGGTGTACCGGCCACCCCTACCTAATGGTCGCTGCAAAAGAAGGCCATACTGATGAATGTCACAGTGGTCGTACCGACGAAATCCACTTGTGGTAATAGTAAGAAATGTATACGACTTAATGGACCGAAACATTTCTTAGCAATTTATAAAATTATTACTATTTTTTTCTCATTCTTTTTTGTTTGTACATTACTTTCTCTTTTAAATACGCGCTGGAAGTACTCCCTGTTTGTTCGGTTGGCAAAAGGTCCGGTGATGCTTTGGTTAGGATGTAACATTAGAATGTATTCTTTTCGCATCCATAGTCATTTGCATGCGACAATCGTTTTGTATTTCTGGTTTTTGCTGGAACTTATGTACAAAAGCTCGTACTATAATAGCTTTTTTCATCAGTCTGATAACCACTGATAATCTCAGCCTTCGTCTTGCCGTCTTTCTGCATTTGTTAATTATGCATATAAAATATAATTGCATGTCTGCTCACCGTCCTAGTCGCCGAGTTTCGTCAGTTTTCCTCGTGTCATATTTCTCTTCCTGAACATATTTTTACAGCACGACGCTCGAGGTGTTGTGTCAATGGCCGGAAACGGGCCACATACAAGCAGATCGCAGTTTTTCATCACATACGCGAAGCATCCTACGTTGGATTTCAAATATACAGTTTTTGGACGGTTTGTTTTAAGCTCTCCTCGTGACATATTTTCGTCACAAATCATGCGAATTGACCTTGCTACCTGTGATATTTGTAGAGTGATCGACGGATTCGAAGTGTTGGACGAGTTGGAGAAAGTAAAAGTTGATTCAAAGTATCGGCCAGTGGTTGAGCAGAAAATTCGAAATGTTATCATCCACGCTAATCCGATTGCCGACTTGGCGGCCGCTTCCTAAATTGTCACCTCATCTGCGTAGTCTTTTATCGTGTATCTTGTACCAGAATCACAGTTCACTTTCCACCCTGCATCTCCAGTGCTCTTGGCATATTCCTCTCACTGCTAATCTATTGGTGCGCCAATTTTCCGATGTAAAAAATCATCCGCAGTCGCCTGTTCCGAATTCAAAGCAATCCGATGAAGTAAAAAGCGACTTAGATTTGGAGAGGATCAAGGAAATGCAGCGGTATTTTGAGCAGTATACGGAGGAGTATGTCGAAGTGGACACTGAACCGCAAGTACCCTCTGAGACTTTAACAAAAACAGGTACATCACTTATTTTCATGCACAGAAATTATTAAAATGCATTCTCGTATGTACTTTGATTTAAGAGACAGGAATAGTTGATGGTGCTTACTTTACGACGGCTAAATTTCTAGAGCTCTGAAGTGAAAAAAGTTTTAAATATATAAGACCTAGACCAGAAGTACGTTTTCCACGCAGTCAATTTTATTATTATGTTTAGCAAAATGTACCAGATTTGATCAGTTTTCGTTTTCTCGTTGCGCAAACC